CTTCTTAAAAAAAAGACAAAAATGGAGCAAAACTGTTTCTTATTCTTTGTATCTCCAATGCCTAGTCCACTCCTTGACATATTATGAATTTACAATAAATGATTGTTGAATGAATTAATAAGTAATAATATTAATTACTTCATGTATTCAATAAATTTTTATCAAGTCCCTACTGTGGCTCAGGCCGTAAAGCATCTGCCTCCAATGTAGGAGACCTGGATTCAGTCCCTGGGTTGGGAAGATCCCCTGGAGAAGGAAATGGCAACCCACTCTAGTACTTTTGCCTGGAAAATCCCATGGATGGAGGAGCCTGGTAAGCTATATATAGTCCATGTGGTCACAAAGAGTCAGACATGAGTGAGAACTTCACTACTGTATACCAGGTGTTCTAAGCATTGGGAGTTCATCTGTGAAAAAGAAGGTGTCTTTGCCTTCATCAAACTTATATTCTAATGGTAGAAAAGCCAGGTACAGGTGATGAAAAATATAGAAGGATAAAAGATTGATGGGGACTTCAATTTTGGATTGGTGGTCAGAAAATGCCTCACTAAAGAGGTAACATCTATCATCTAAATGGAGACCTGAGTTAAGCAGAAAATAAAACTGCCTTAAAGAAGAGCATTCCAGGCTGAAAGATCAGTCAGTCTAAAAGGCTGAAGAGGAACATGCTTTGAATGCTCAAGAAACAGCACAGGAGGCCAGGCTGGCTGAAACGTGGTGAGTGAGAAGGAATGTGATAGGAGATGGGATTGGCAGATGTTACTGGGCCAGATCACATTTGGCCATGATAAAGATTTGGGGCTTTTTTGTAACTGTGACAGGAGGCCAAATGTGGGGTTGGTGAGTCAGAGAGTAACATGATGTGATTTGTGTTTTGAAAGGATCAATCTGCCTGTTATGTGGGAGAGTAATGGGAACAAAGAGGGCAAAAAGTGAAAACTGCTAGGAGGTTGTTGTAATAATCCGAGAGACGACAGTGGCTTTGAATAGGATGGAACAAGTAATTTGTATGGGACCCTTTCAGCATAAGATCTGGTGACGTAAGCTGTGAAAAGTGTAAACTTGCTCCTCTACCTTACACATTCAAGTAGATCAAAATTTAAAAATGTAACTAAGGTACATGTACTTGGTGGAATAGTGTATTAAGAAATGAAGAAACTAGTTTCTTAGTCCCAGTTTTATTTTTAAATAGGTGTGTGACCTTGGGGAAGTCCCTTACTTTCTATGGGCCTTGTTTTTTTTTTTATGTCTAAAATAAGGGGTTGAATTATTAAAGCTTCATGATTTTACAGTTATGTGAAAAAGTAAATATACAATGAATACTTAAAACAGCCTGGGGTACTGAATGGAGCACTTTAGTAGATTCAGAAATAGTTATTATAAGGCTTTCTTGTCCATAGGTATTATATTTATAAATGATTTTACAGAACAGTTACAGTATGAGATCATAAATTTAAGTGCAGAAGTGCAACCTGTAAGGCAGGTCATAAATTCTTGAAGTTTGAAAAAGGGAATAATTAATAAAGACTGAGTTAGCCATGAAGGTAATAGGATTTAATTAAAATGAATTAGTGAGGAAAGAACCCCCTGGGTAGTGAAGAAGACATAAACAAAGATGAAGTCTTAATGAGCATAGTATGATACAGGTTTATGGCAGCTAGACACTCAGTTTAGGTCAGCCTGACTCTATTGCATGATACATGAACAATGGGAAAATAGGTTGACTATATAAAACAAGATAACAAGAACATTAAAATCTAGGCAGCTTTGTTTAGCTTTCAGTGCAGGTAAGAACTGGGAGCCATTATAGATTCTTTAGCAGAAGAATATTATATAATACAAGTAGTTTTCAAGAAAGATTGGTGTAGTATGTATACTTTGAAGAAGCTGAAACTACCTTATTCCTAGTCACATGGAGGCATTTGGCATACCTTTTCTCATTTAATCATCATAACACCAGTGAAAGAAACCCAAGTTCACAGAGTTTAAATAGCTTTACTAAAAGGTCTTAAGAGGGCTTCCCTGGTGGTTCAGTGGGTGAAGAATCTGCCTGTGATGGAGGAGACCCACATTCTATCCCTGAGTTGGGAAGATCCTCCGGAGAAGGAAATGGCAGTTCACCCCAGTATTCTTGCCTGGGAAATCCCATGGACAGAGGAGCCTGGTTGGCCCCGGTTCATGGGGTCGCAAGAGTTGGACACGTCTTAGTGACCAAATCACCAAGCAAAGGTCTTAAGTCTAGTAAGTGCTTTGAACTAGGATTTGAACTAACATCTGTCTGGTTCTAGAAGGTCAGGGTGCTCTTCCTTCAGTTACCCAGACATGAGTTGAGGATACTCAGGAGCAGTGGGACTGGAAAAGCAGAGATGGAACCGAGAAAGAGTCTTTTGAAGAAGAGCTTGTTGGCTGTTGGTATAAAGGAAATGAATAAGAGTAAACCCGTGAAGACATTGAAATATTACTCTCAGCTAGCTAATGAAGATACTTTAGTGGTTGTTTTGGGGGCTGGAGGCAGACTAGAAGGGCCATGGACATGGATGAAATGATCTCATTTGAGATTGTTGAGTTTTAAACATCATTAAGCTTATAAGTAGTAAATAATGTCAGGAAGATTTTCAGAATTTGGGAGTCCTCAACACGCAAGATAGTTGAAGGCATAAGAATGAAGACGTCTTCTAAAGGAAGAGAAGCTCATGAAAGATGAGCAAAGGACTTGAGATATAATGCTGAGTTTATACTGTAGGTTTAGGAAGAGGAGGGCTGTCAGACCGCTGAGAACAATGTGAATGTTCCTATTCTCCAATATTAGCATTTTAACTTTCTGTCAGAACTTAGGTTTTGTTTGTTTGTTTCTATTTAAAGTGAAGTAGATATAAATTAATTTCAGTGCATGATCAAGTTTTTCCAAATAGCACATTGCTTGGTTTCTCAAACAGAATTTGTTAGTTTTGTGGCCCTATTCCAGTTTATCTTTTGGTGAACGTTCTAAAAAGCATTTTTTGGTTCATACTTAAGTCACTGACTTGATTCTTCTGTGAATTTCATTTAAAAGCCAATGGCTGGGATATGGCAACAAAAATACATGCAACAAAAGAAAAAGATAAATTGGACTTCATCAGAGCTTTTGTGTGTCACAGAAACTGTTAAGAGAGTGAAAAGACAGCCTGTAGAATGGGGAAAAATAATTGCAAATCATATATCTGATAAGGGATTAATATCCAGAACCTAAAAAGAACTTATTTGGCCTGACAGCAAAAACAGCCTCTAACACTAAATGAGCAAGAGACTTGAATAGAGATTTCTCCAAAGAAGATATACAGATGGCCAATAAGCACATGAAAAGATGTGCAACATCACTAGTTTTTAGGAAAATGTAAATCAAACCACAATGAGATACCAAATATCCATTAGGATGTCTGTTAGCAAAGTGGGGGGGAATAACGTGTTGGTGAGGATGTGGAGAAGTTGCAAACCCTGTACACTCTTGTAGTATAAAACGGTGCAGCCAATGTGGAAAGCGTATAATTTGCACTTCAAGTGCTCTCAAAAGAATTGAGAGCAGAGACTCAAATACAGATCCTCCTTAACGTTTGATGAGGTTACGTCTTAAGTAACTTGCTAGTTGAAACTGTGATTGAGTCAAAAATGCATTTAATATACCTAACCTACCAAAAAGCCTAGCTAATTGTAGCCTGCCTTAAATGTGCGCAGAGCACTTAGATTAGCCCACAATTTGGCAAATCATCTAACACAAAGCCTATTTTATAATAAAGTATGGAATCCTGTGCAATTTGTTAAATGCTGTGCTGAACCATAGCATTCTGTGAAACACAGATTGGTTTTATAGGTACAGAATGGTTGTAAATGTACGGGTTCTTTACATCCCCGATCACGTGGCTGGCTGCTGCTGTCACAGAGCTTCATGAGAATAGCTCCTACCAAATGTTTCTAAGGCTGGGAAAAGTTCAAAATTCAAACTACTGTTTCTACTGAATGTGTTTCTCTTTTGTACTGTTGTACAATTGAAAAATCCTAAGTTGAACCTTCAGAAGTCAAGGACCACGTATCTATAGATACTTATATACCAGTGTTCAGAGCATTATTCCTAATAACCAAAAGGTGTAAACACCTTAATGTCCATTAACAAGTGAATGGGTAAACATAAGGTGGTGATGGTGGTGTGATGTGCGTGTTTGCACACACACAGTGAAATACCATTCAGTCTTAAAAAGGAATGGAATTCTGACATCTGGGACGATTTGGATGAACTTTGAAAACATTTTGCTAAATGAAATAAGCCAGACACAGAAGACATGATTCTACCTATATGAGGTGCCTAGAATCGGTGAATTCATTGTGACAGAAAATAGAACAGAGATTCCATACTTTTACCGGAAAGTAGACTAGGATTGGGAGAAGGGAGGAATGAGGAGTTAGTTTTTAATGGGTACAGAGTTTCTGTTTGAGACAATGAAATATTTTTGTAATAGGGTGTTGATGATTGGATGACACTGTAAATGTTCCTAATGCCATAGAATTGTGCCCTGAAAAATGACTAAGATGGTAGATTTTATGTTATGTATATTTACAGTAATTTTTTAAAAGCTAATGGCTTTTGTACAAAGTTAGAAACATTATTAAGGTTGTTGTAATAGTGCCAACACATCCTGTCTTTAATGTGCTCTTTTATTTATTTTGTTATATATTCTTTGTTGATCATCTACCTCATCTGTCTTAATCCTACTTTAAGAACAACTGGCCACCTTCAGTTTCATCAAATAATTTCTATTGCTTGAGTTTTAATTACTTAAAACTTCACTTTAAATTCTTTAGGTTATTTTGGATAGTTGGCACTTAGGACAACACTGTATGTGTGTCTTTACATGAAAATTAGTAGTAATAGAATTTTTTTATTATTAAAAATATAATAATGCTCATACTCTTCTAAGATATCCATTGTGTTAGAAAAGTCTGCCTTCATTGCAGTGTTCTGCTTGCAGGATGAGGATGAGCTGGACTCCCACACCATGGTGAAGACGAGCTCGGAAAGCGTGGGCACCATGAGGGCCACGAGCACCATGAGTGAAGGGGCCCAAACCATGATTGAACACAACAGCACCATGTTAGAGTCTGACTTGGGGACCATGGTTATAAACAGCGAGGATGAGGAAGAAGAAGATGGAACTATGAAAAGTATGTGGCTTTTTCCCCCACTGACTATTGATCTTCTGTTTTGAGAATGTGCTTCTATAGAAACCAGGATAGTTCTCTGTTACTTGTTATAGCCAGTTGTGGAAAATTTTGTTTCCTGACTTTATTTAACAGTCTAAAAAGAAATGATACAAATGAACTTACAGAACAGAGAGAGACTCGCAGATAAACTTACGGTTGCCAGAGGAGAAGGGATCGCTAGGGCGTTTGGGAAGGTCGTGTGCATACTGCTAGCACTCAGAATGGATAATCAACAAGGACCTGCTGTATAGCACAGGGAACTCTGCTCAGTGTTATGTGGCAGCCTGCACAAGAGGGGCCTTTGGAGGAGAGTGGATACATGTAAACGTATGGGCGAGTCCCTTCGCTGTTCACCTGAAACTACCACAACATTATTAATTTGCTATGCCCCTAATACAAAATAAAACGCTTAAAGTTCGGGGAGGGGGGAAGAGTGAAAGGAGTATGGCACAAGTAAGTTTTCAGAATTTTTTTTAGTACAGCAGAAAGCAGCTCCTCTTTAACTGAGGGTTTATGGAACTTTTTTCTGTTGAAGGATGGATACTAATCCAAAATTTAATTTGTAAAGTATCTTTGAGATAGAACGATAGAGATAAAAAAATTCCTCACCTTTGCTTTTCCGATTAAAAAAGTAAACCTAAAATTCCGTCCCGAATAATACACCATAATATTATTTCATGTTGTCCATATTATCGGTGAAGCTGCAGTAACGCAGGGGAACAGCTGAGGGAAGACATACGGGCTGAGGTGGGAAAAGAAGAAACAGTGGAAAGATGTGTCAAGAAACAAGGATGCTCATGCAGAACACCCAGCCTGGTGCATACTTATTACTTCTCGTACTGTGAGAGGCACGGTGCCAGGGGCGCTGCAGGGCTGAAAGGACGGTTAGAGCATTCTCCCTGATCTCCTTTGCTTGCAGAGTGATGAAGACAGAGATACTTTCACAGGCTAGCATTTCTTTTTGTATAAACATGGCCCTTTAAGTTTGCAATTAACAGTGTAAGACACTGTGATTTCTCAGTTACAGACAACAGCAGATTAATTACCTCTTGATGCCTACTGACCTTTTTCTTCCCCCACTACCCTAGTCATATGTGGTCAATGACTAGGTCTAAGCGCAGGCTGTTTTTCACTACATAGGGCTTCTTCCGAAGGGTACAAAAAGCAGCAATATATGACTTCTTGCGCTGTAGAGCCTATGAAGTTACAGTCAAGTGATCTGCTGATAGCATAAAATGGATATAGGTAGGAATTTCCTCTCCAACATTTTTGTTTCTTTTTGCCTACTTTGTTTTTGCTGCTCCCCTCCCGCCCCATTCCCCACCCCCCCATGAGGGGGGCTGCTTGATAAGCTTATAGCTTCAAGTCATTTGGCTCACTGCAGTTGCTTCCTTCATATTCCTTAGTATATATAGCCCATTATGGTTGTATACTTTGAAAGGGAGGGTTGTGAAGCACAGGATGAAAACACATTGCCAGATACTGATAGTTAATCCTGGGTGGGAAGGGGTGCGATTTTTTTTTTTAATCTTACATGCTGATGGGTTTCCTGAGCCTTTGCCCTGGAAAGCAGTCTAAGACTTGCATTCCTAGCTGAGCATATTACTAGAATAGGGCTTCTGCATCCTTAACATGCTAACCGACTACACTGGACCGTCTTGTGGCCTCCAAAGCCAGCTTATGTTAGGGTACAAGTCATATGCCCTGTAGACTGAAAAGACAGATAAGGTCATTTACAGCATGCTTCCCATCAGTAGGTAGCATCGGTTTTCCACAGCTGATAAAATTCTTCTAAGTCAGGTTTTCTGATTCTTAACAGACCAGTAAGATCATCGAGTGCTTCATTCTATCTTCAGAGAGCTACTGAGCTCCTTATGAAGCTACATTAACAACTTTTCCCTTGTAGTCCATATAGTTGAACATCATCATTTAAACAGTAGTTTAAAAATGAGTATTTATGGAATCGAATTCACATTAAGATTATTCTGTTTCAAGGAAGAGATATGTTATAATGATTTATCAAACCTCATGCTTTAAAATAACAGATTTCCACATGTTTTGTGTAATGACTTTTAGCTTTGACAACCACAGTAAACATTCAGTTTATGTCATAATTTTATATCCTAAGCATGATTTTTTTTTGGTCACAGAAGTTTTATTGAAAGCTTATTTTTAAATGGAGCAGATAGTGGTTTCTGTAGTTGCTTTATATGCTTGAGCAAGTTTTAAATCTCATGAGCCAACTTTCGTTGTATTTTAAGTTTCCACAATTTAGATATCATTCTATAATATGGGATTTCCATGTACCCAAAAGTTGAACCAAATGATGTTAGTGTAACCCTGGTTTTGTCATACTGTAATACAGCAATAGTATAGGATGTAAAGAAGCTACTGAGGCAGAACTTACTTTCAGTGAAACTACATAATTAGTTTTAGCTTTGTCTTTCCTCATGATGTTAATCTTTTAAAAAATATCTTAGATTAGTTGGTATGAGCTCTTAGGTTATGTTAAAAGTTAATGAAAGTCCCACTTGGTAATGTGTCTTTAGCATTTTTTTTCCCTAAAGAGAGTATATATCTATATATTCCCTAAAAGATGAAAGCATTATATAGTTTTCAGTTTTCTAAAATATCTACAAAGTTATATGCTGAAAATCCTGGTTTCCATCACCTTTACCAGTGGAGCTTCAAAAGAGTTGCCCAATTTAATATTCTTGACAGTTTAAATTATGTCTGCATACTTTTTTATACCTTTATCCATAAAGCTAGAAATTATAGTCCTGTTTTCCTTACTTCTTAAAAGTGTGATGACTTAACTCTAGGAAGCAAAGTTGTTAAAAGATCTTTTGAGGGAAATGGAGAAAATGTCAGAAAATAGTTAAAATTTAATTTGTTTTTAAACGGGCATAGACCTGGAGAGCACGTCTGGAGAAGTCTCTGTGCTTGCTTCCAGCAGTGCCGGCGTTGCTCTCACCGCCCCTCCCCTGCTCTGCCCCCTCCCGTTCCCACGTCCTGGGCTCTCATTGCTCCTGGGATGTCGAGGCTTCAGCTCGGTAACCCAGGTCTTTCAGAATCTGGCATCAGCCAATATTTGCATATAGATTTCTACTGACTTACATATTATCTTTTATCCAGACTAGTCTATGCCAGTTGGAATTAGGAGGTTGACAGTAAGTGTAAGCAGGTTGGTTGTCATTAATGAAATCAACATTTAAGATTTTTTTTTTATCTGGAGGAAATCAATTAGGATCAGGTCAGGAATCCGTTGTCATTAAATTGATAAACTAGTAGAGGTTATTTCTTTGTGGGTAACTCTAGAAGAGCAAAACTGTTGTAGCAAAGAAAGAGTGGGGGCCTTTTCCCTTGGTCAGATCTGCTGTGTTCCTACAGTGGAACTTTCTGGCCTCCCAGAGCTGGGGCTGGATTTATAAGAAATCGAGTGGCAAGGTGAGGTAATGATCAGGGAACACTCAGCTGATTCAGTACCTCCCGACTGGGAGTATGATCAGTAATGTGTTGAGATAACTTGCAGGTGAGAGGATTGTATTCCACTGTTTGTGAAGTTTGATGTCTTTTTTTGAGAAAATGAGGGAAGTGCCATCCATGTAAGCAAGATGAAGTTAATTGTTATTTTGTTTTATTCATTTTTTGTTTTCAGAAAAGAGAATAGAAGGTAAATTTCTCAGGCTATAGCTGGCAGCCCACTCCAGTATTCTTGCCTGGAAAATTCCATTGACGGAGGAGCCTGGCGGGCTACATATAGTCCATGGAGTTTCAAAGAGTCGCACACAAATGAGCGACTTCACTTTCACTTTCACAGCTATCATTAATTGCAGGTCCATATGGGCTGAACATTGTGCTTGGAACTTTACATACATCAGCTCATTAACTTCTCACAAGGACTTTGTAAATAATGTTGTCACTATTGTTTGCCGCTAAGGAAACTGAGACTTGGGAACATGAAGTGACTTGTCCAGGATTTCATAGCAGATGAGTGGTAGACCCGATATACAGACTCAGGTTCCACCCCCCCAAATCACGTTATTACTGTGGGCCAGTGAACCTGACGTCCCCTTGGGCAGGCTGTCTAGAATATTTGTGAGTCCTTTAGGAAAGGAGACTTGAATTGTTATAAGTCAGCATAGGTTAGTGGGAACAAATTATATCAGAACAATTTGATTTCCTTTTTTGACAGCATTGCTAAACCTCTAGATCAGAGAAACTGCTAGATTTGGATACTGTGTTTTATCATTTGAGGAAAGTATTTTACAGTGGTTTTGATGATACCCTTGTAGACTCTATGTAGTATGACCAAGCTGATGGTTTTATTATGAGGGTTGAGCAGTTATACACATATAGGCTTGTGTCAGTGTTTTTTGGAGGACAGAAACTATGCATTTTAAACACAGAAAGATTTGACTCAGAGTTTTGGATATTAACAAAATCAGCGGAGAGTTTGGAAGAGAGGGCTGTGTAGGCTGGGCCTCCAAGAATGACTCCCACACCCCCACAAAAGTGACCATTATGGCATTACTACTATTATTACAGTCAGGAAGCTAGTGAATTCAGAGGCTGTCGTTGGCACTGCTGAATGCAAAATACAGATTGAGATCAAATACCTGTTGCTATTCAGGGATTAGAAAGCTACCACTGAGACTGCAACCACATTTTTAACACCTGTGAGGCTGACGACTGGAGCCGGAATGCTGCTGTAAAAAAATCCCATGTCTGCATAGTTGTGCTGCTGGAAGGAAATGGCTGAGATAGCAGGCCCCTGTTCTCTGCCTCATTTCTTGCTTTCCCAGTCATGAGAGAGTACACTTACCCAGGACCCTAGGTGCAGAGTATTACAGGAAATGTAGTGTTTAGCTTCCCAGACTGTACAATAAGAAGGCTCACCAGAGGCAATGGCAGTGGTTGCTCAGTTTCAGCCAACTGTTGGGCTTCCCTGGTAGCTTAGA